CAACCGTAACGTTATGAAAGCGACGAGAATACTTTTGTACGCGAAGAAAACAAAAATAACGACTTTATTCAACAATTCGTCTCCTCTGTGTCTCTCCGCATCACCATAGCGCCATTTTGGAGAATATGCGCTGAACGCAAGCAGCGTACGCAATTCTGTGTCAGCCGCGCAAACCGCGCGTTTTCGTTTAAATCAAAGCGTAAAGACACGTAGAAAACGTATCCTTGTGTCGCGGCTGACACAGAATAGCGTACGCTGCTTGCTTTCAGTGGATATTCTCCAAAATGGCGCTATGGTGATGCGGAGAGACACAGGAGACGAATTGTTGAATAAAGTGATTATTTTTGTTTTCTTCGCGTACAAAAGTATTCTCGTCGCTTCATAACGTTACGGTTGAACCACTGATGGCAGATGGACTATTCTGACGATGTCTTTCATACTTTTCCGGACCTTGACATTCCTCTTTACTTGGCAGTCAATGGGACAGTCACAAGCCTCCCGGTTTTCATCCAAAATATCTTAAATTGTGTTCCGAAGACGAACGAAGCTTTTACGGGTTTGGAACGACATGGGGGTAAGTGATTAATGACAACATTTTCATTTTGGGGTGGAGTATCCCTTTAAACCTTGATCTGGTGAATCCATGAACGAGTGTCTAAATCTTTCAGATTTTGGTCACATCTTTAACGTAGGTTTAGTTTTTACTGATTTTCATTGTGTGTATAAAAAGGGACAGTAATCTTTAATTGGCAAAGTTTGCATAGGCCTACCCTGCTAAGAGCACTACACTGTAAACTGCATTTGTAAATGGTGTTTTCACAGACGGTTGGGGTTCATTTGTAAAATGCATCTACTCAGGTTGGACCAGCAGGTGTCGCCAGCCACATGCCATTTCGAGCGCTTCGAAAGAGTGAATCGTTTTGAGAAGCATTCGGTTCAGTTAATGCAGAGTTTTGAAGAGTTTGTCCCATCATTACTCACTGCTGATAAACCGGTGCTCAACTTTTATGGAGCACAAGTGTTGTTGGTGTTGTGTTACTAAAACAGTACAATGATGTGTGACAGCACATAGCTGTCAGATGCAAGGGTGTAGATTTGAACTTTGGTGGGTTAAAGTGGGTATTTGGTTCTTGGTATTTCTTTTAATAATAATATATATATTAAAAAAAACATAATAACTACATTAAAAACAGCTTTGTTATATGTGTAGTGTTATTGGACAATTTCTCCCTTTTTCTATCTGTTTTTCTATTCACATTTGTGACCCTGGAGCACAAAACCAGTCATAAGTAGCACAGGTATATTTGTAGCAATAGCCAACAATACATTTGTATGGGTCAAAATTATTTATTTTTCTTTTATGCCAAAAATCATTAGGGTATTAAGTAAAGATTATGTTCCATTAAGATATTTTGTAAATTTCCTACCGTAAATATATCAAAACTTAATTTTTGATTAGTAATAT